CCATAGCAGTCAGGAAAGAGCAGTTAACAGCTGTTGGTTGGTTGATGGATCCTGTAGCCAAGAGGCCACACTTGTGGGGAGGAGATGATCCTTGAGACCCTGTACCCTGGAGAGGGCACAGGCTGATGAATAATTTTTTCCCTTCATGACTACGAAGCCTTTAGAAAAAGTGAGTCATCGCCATACCCAGATGTTCTTTCTTATTATCATTACAGGACAACACGATTCATCCTAAGGAGGACAAGGGCCTACAGAGAACGTGGTCTATTTTGGTTGAGAGCTTTCAATTCATTGGAAACAAAAAAAAAAAGGGGGGGGCTGGTCTTCTCTGACTCCATTAAACTCAGGAAAATTTGACTTGGTGGAAATGATCGTCAGTCTTTTTCACTTTGGGGATCATGAACTTCCTGGCTGTCTTTCATTTTTTTATGTGTGGCCCCTGAAAGGCAAGACCTACCTATTTGCAGAGGCCAAATGGAGAGGTCATTAGTATACTCTTCACAGTCAATTGTAGTGATAGAGGACCATTAACAAAACAGAACTCAAGTGGCTTATGGGTTGAGATGCCAAGAGGTACCTCACCAGTAAACTCGTTACAATGTATTTGTGAATCTGTCATTTCCTAAGGGATTAACGTTGGGGAAGCCAAAAAAAATAAAGTGTCTGCAGGACTAGTGTGTTCTACTTGGCCCTGGCCAGAGCATATTAGCTTCCTGGTTTATAATGGCCCAGAGAGGTCTCTTGCCCTTGACCAGGGCCATGTTGGAGTTTGCAAGGGTGACCATTGCTGTGTAACCAGTAGTGCTAGATTGCCGTATTGTATCTGTTCATCTGTGTGGTGCTACTGTTGATGCTGAACAGGCTTAACTGTGTCCCCTCTTGTGGTTTTAAAACCAAGAAATCATGGACTGTGAAAGCTTCCATGGCCATTTTAATTCCACAAAGCCTGAAGGACTGAAGACGCAGGTTTCCTCCATCTAGGATCAAATGCAAGTTTGCTTTTATCTTCCTGTGGGTGAGCGGGATTCCAAGAGCAGAAAGGGACCTTGATCCTGTCTGTGCATTTCTGGCCTCAAAGGTGAGGGTGTGGGTTCCCCCATCAGCATCCCTCCCACATTTCAGAGAGAAGATACCAATAACTGCTACCCGTGGGGACCTCACCTCTGGATGCCCACCTCCTCTTAGTGGCTGGCTTGGGGCCATTTGACAAATGCAAGCAGAGCGTTTCTTTTTCTTTTTATGATGGAGGCAAGAGGAGAAAGGAGATTGCCTCAAAATTACTTGCTCTGAGTCTCTTCTTCCTATTTATACATCCTGGGACTACGATGAAAAAATTTTTTTAAAAATTGAGCGCATTGTAGTTAAACATGATATGGGGCTCATTTTGATATATTCAAAAATGCATGTAACAGTTTTCTCCATTTCAATCCCCAACACTATCCCCTTCCTCTATTCCATTGGTCTCCTATTTATTTTCTAATCGGTACAGTATTGTTATATAGAAAACTGGAATGCACTGTGATATACCCATGCATGCACATAGCCAACTGGGTGAGCTTTATCCTCAGTTCTTCTCCTTTGCCTCCCCTCCTTTCTCACCCTTGGTCCCCAGCTTCTGTGGCACTGATGCTCCTTCTGTGATGAAATTTTGCAAAGCACAGCACTGATGATGTCTCCTCCCCTGCTCAGTACCCACTGTTGCTTTCTTCTCGCTTATAAGAGAGAGTCGGCACTTGCATTTCTTTTCACAAACAGACCTATCTTCATTTGAGTACTAACCTATTTGTGTGTGTGTGTGTGTGTGTGTGTGTGTGTATTTGGTACCAGGGATTGAGCCCAGAGGCACTTAACTACTGAGTCACATCCTCAGACATTTTATTATTATTATTATTATTATTATTATTATTATTATTATTATAGTTGTAGTTGGACACAATACCTTTTTTTAAATTTATTTTTATGTGGTGCTGAGGATCGAACCCAGTGCCTCGCTCGTGCTAGGTGAGTGCTCTACTACTGAGCCACAACCCCAGCCCCACCAACCATTTTTATATTTTATTTAGAGACAGGGTCTTGCTAAGTTGCTGAGGCTGGCTTTGAACTCAGGATCTTCCTGCTTCAGCCTCCTGAGCCACTGGAATTATAGGCATGTGCCACCCCACTCAGCCTCTCCTGATTTTTTTTTTTCTCTCCTACTGGCCACATGGCTTGGAGTATCATACCTTGACCTTCCTTCCTGATCCATCTCCTCTGTTAAATGCAGATAATTATCTCCCCTGTTGATTTGTTAGGTGGATTAAGTGACATCAGATATGTGAAATTCACAACAGCTCCCGGCCCAGACTGAGTGCCTAATAACAGGTCCCTGTGGCATTCTTAGAGCAGATGAGAGCCCAACAGTTAGATTGGGGGAAGTAGAGTCCCCCAAGCAAGCCATGTCGATGGCTTTGAGGAGGAAACGATGAGTGCTGTCACAAGGCGTGTAAGAGAGAACATCAGAAAAGCAGGGTATAGTTTGGAAAGCCGAGAGTTGACGTGTCTGTCAAAGAAGAGGCTCCCTGTGACCCACCCTGCGCATGCCACATCCCTAAGCAGAAGGGCCCACGACTCACAGGGTGCTGGCCGTGTTGCCTCAGTTTCCCCAAGATTGCACACAAAACAGAGCATGGGGAATCCTGCTGTAGATGCTCAGCCTTCCTTTCTGGTCTGGCTTTCCAGGGCCCCTCACCAAGAGGCTGAGTGACTTCCCTCTGCATACACATTTCCCTGGAGATTCTGCCTGCATGTATCTCACAGATTGGCTTAAATAAATGTCCCCAGGACCCTTGATTTAAACCATCTCTGTGTCCCAGGCTTTTTTTTTTTTTTTTTTTTTGCGGTACAATACACAACATAACATCTGCCGTCTTCACCATTTTTGGATGTCTGGTTCAGTGGCATCAAGCATACTCACGTTGCTATGCAGCCGTCACCACCATTACCCACAGAACTCTTCTATCTTGCAGAACCAAAACTCTGTCCCCATTAGACACTAACTCCTCATTCTCCACCTCCGATCCCCTGGCGACCACATTTTACTTTGTCTCTCTATGAATTTCACTACCTGAGACCTTCATATAAGTGGAATCATACTGGAGTTGTCTGTTTGGACTAGTTTAATTCACTTAGCATAATGTTAAGGCTTATTCATGTTGATCCCTAAGATTGGTTCATGCTGTAACGTGCCAGAATGTCCTTCCTTTGTAAGGCAGAAGAATATTCCGCAGTGTTTATCATACCACTTTTGATTTACCCATACACCCATCAATGTCCCCTTGGGTTGTTTCCACCATTTTGCAATGTGCATATAATGTCACCATGAGCGGGTGGGCGGTGTACAAATATCAGTTCTTTGCAATATAAACCCAGAGTGGAATTGTTAGACTATAGGATGATTCTATGCTTCATTCTTTTTTTGTTTTCTTTGAAGGATCATCATGCTTTTTTCCCTGGGGGATACACCATTTTACATTCCCTCCAACAATGCACAAGGGTTCCAATTTTTCAACATCCTCACCAACACTTGTTCTTGTCTGGTTTTATTTTCCCATATTTTTTCCTTGGTGCATTATAATTGTATTTTCTGTCTTGTCATTGTGGTTTTGATTTGCATTTCCCTAATGAGTGGTAAATGTTGAGCATCTTTTCATGAGCTTGGAGGGCATTTTTACATCTCCTTTGGAGAAATGTCCTTGCTTAATTTTCAAGGGGCTATTTGCTTTTCATTGCTGAGTCTAGACTTCTTCCTGGGCTCAGAGAAACTGAGGCTCCTCATCTTCCAGCCATCGACGATAGCAACCACAATAATACCTGCTTTTACTGAGCACTTACATCTTCCTCACACTATGCTGAATGTTTACAGCCTTTTGAGAAAAAAAAAAGTGACTATCTCCATTTCACACTTGAAGAAATTAAACCCACAGGCCTTGCCCAAGGTCTTCCAGCCAATGAGCAATGATTTTTTTTTTTTTTTTTTTTTTTGGTGCTGGGGATGGAACCCAGGGCCTTGTGCATACTCGGCAAGTTCTCTACCACTGGGGTACACCCCCAGACCCAACTTATGAGTAGTGAGACAACTATAGCTTGGTAGTTGTCTGACTCCATCCATAAATGGGAGACTTAATTCCTTAGCCCCTAACTAAGGAACAGCTGTGAAACTGCTTCATAAATAACAGTTCTTCCATATGCTTTTGAGAAGCAGTGTCATAGAAGAAACCACAAAGACCTCGGGACCTCAATTTTTCTGTAAAGCCATATTTCATTCTATACAAGGATTAGTTTTTAAAATCCCAAAGGTTCACCTCTGAGAGTAATCACAGAAATAGATGGAACTTTAAATGCTGAATCTTTAGCTACCCCAGAAGGCTTCTAAATGGAAGATGATGGATTCAGCCAGGATCCAGACATAAACTCAGTTTGTTGGTGGGTGCTGTATTGCTGTCTGGGCCTAATCCTTTCTTTACTTGTAACTTACAACTTTTCGATCCTCCGGCCCTGTTATCTGGACCACATAGCGTTACCCCCTCCTTTGCCTTGGGTTTGTCCAGGTTTGGCGGTTGAAAGGACAAAGCGAAGGCCCAGGCTGCAAACCCACATCTTGACCTCTGGGGGCACCAGATGAACAGCCCTGGACAGGTCTCAAACCACAGGTCTTTGGGGGAAACATTCTCCATTCTTTTTATGTTGGCTTTTATCTGGCCTTGAGTTCACACAGCTGGGGCCCTGGTCAGGGCCAGAGCCAGGGCCAGAGCGATGACTTAGTGTTGGGAAGAAATTGGCAGAAACATTCCCCAGTGGAGTTTGGGTAGGCCCCAGGAGTCCCGCCTAAAAATGCAGTGGACAAAGCTGCCCTTGTCCACAGGCCGAGGGGTAGGAGGCATCTGGTCAGTGACACAGGCTTGGCCATTGTATGCCCTGACCTCAGCCAACTTTTTCTTTTAGCTGAGAAAGGGGAAAAAAGAGTGAAAGGGAGGGGGGAAAAAATGAAGTCCTCCAGAAACTTTGCATCTGGAAAGTCCAGAATGAGTTGTTGATTTCCCAACAGACGCTGGAGCAGATTTGGAAGGAACTATGCAATGTAGTGGGTTCTTTGTGCAAGAACAGCTAAGAGAAAAGCCACAAGAACATCCTCCGGGGTGCCCAGAGCACAGACCCTGGGGTAGCTGCTTGTCAGCCTCCTTTCTCATAGAGGGTGACATGGAAAGGCAGCCGGCCTGAACCGGGCTCTGAGTCTAGGGCTTCAGACCAAACCTCAGTCTCTGGGTATAGCAACCTCCCAAGAGGATCAGCCGTTCTTCAATGGTAAGGATCAAACCTGCTTGTCTGCAGGTATGGGCTCAGGGCTCAAATGTCCTTCTGTGCATATTTCTCAGACGCCTTTGACGTTTTAAAGGGGCCATTCTGAAAACCTGCTGAGCTTTGAAGGGTTGGGGACCCTGTGTGTCTGGGGGGTACCTTTCACGGGCCGATGGTGTGAACAGGGAGAAGAGACAACATAGATCACTGTGTAAGAAATCAGGAGAGGAGGGGAGGAAGAGAAAGGTTTAAGAAGGGGTGTTTGCAGAGGGAAAGGATCCCCCAGGAGCAGTGCAGTTGCGGGTCTGGGGCAGAGAAGCAGAGTATTGATGTGGTTGATGATAGTCTGAGAATGGAGTGCAAATTTTGCTCCCTCTACTTTTCCAAATATGAAATTTAGCTTCTGCCTGTGTATCTCTGTTGCCCACCATGGCCCCATTCCACCTGGGGCACTATGAGGTACAAGCTCTTGGGGGAGATTATAAGATGCTACATGAAGACTAGGGGGAGCTATTGGAAACCTCAGAAGGTAGTGGAGTATCTGCCCAGTAATAGACTATGGTTCCAAGCCTGGCTGAGGCTTCTTTCCAGTTTGGGAGTGGCAGCGGCCACAGTAGAAGTTCTTCTGAGACTTAAGAATAGAGCGACCTTGTTTTGCCACCAGAAATTTAGACATTCTCTTTCCTGGACAAGTGAGACCTCTCATCAGTTTAGACTTTGGGTGCTCAGGCTCTAAAGGCTCTGTACAACTGAGAGGTCCAGTTTGTATAGAAAGGTGGGGGTATTTCTGCCTAGAATCTTCCTCCACCTCGCTGGACCAGTGAGCCTCTGCGATTTTGGTGTGGCTTCTGAGAAAGGCCGGGAGAAGGGAGATGGGGCTTGTTATCCAGCAGCGTCCTCCAAGGCCAGTGGACCTCCTGGGAAACACCACAGCAGAGCTTCTTCAAGGCTAATGTGGCACCATGGTGCATGTCAATAATCCCAGCTCCTCGCTCAGGAGGCTCAGACGGGAGAGTAGCAAGTTCAAGACCAGCCTAGACAATTTAACAAGACCTTGTCTCAAAATCAAATAAAATTAATAAAAGAGTTAGGGATGTAGCTCAGTGGTAAAGCACTTGCTTAGCAAGTGCAAGGTCCTAGATTCAATCCCTGGTACTGCCCCCCACCAAAAAAAAAAAAAAAAAGGTTAATATGCATCTGGATTGCCTAAGGGTCCTTCACAATACAGATGCAGCGCTGGGTATGGCCTGGGACTCCGTATTTGTAGCCCGTACCCCACAGGATTCCTGTTCTGCTGGTGCAGAGGGTTATCCTTGGAAAATCCTTGCTGTGAGGAACACAGATCAGTCCATCAAGTTCTGACCAAGTCACAGCTGCCCTGCAGCTGCTGCTATAGGTGCTCAGGGTACTTTTCAGGTCTGTCTGCGTGCGGATGGTGCATGGTGGGTTTTTTTTTTTTTTTTTTGAGAAGGAGAGAATAGCAAAGAAGATGAACACTGAAAGACAGGAAAGGAGCTGGGAAGAGCCCAAGAAGTCAAGCTCTTGATCATGTGGGGTATGTGGGGTGCCCAGGCCATGGGTGGGGTGTGCCCAAGCTGATGTAGACTGTGTGTTTGGGCTATAATGTGACAGGTGAAGCAGGTGTACTTTCTGTTAGCAGGAAGACTCCCCCAAAATTCCACTGGAGCCTGTCTGGGTGTGTGGGCAGGTGAATTCTAACTTAAGAGTATAACAGATGCTGGACACAGAGACAGAAGCTCAGCATGCGGGGCAGGAATCAAGTTGCTAGGCAAATAGAGCTGGGATCTTGGATGTGGCTCTAACAGGGAAACATGGACACAGGCCTATCAGGACTATACTGATGGTGAGAGGTAGGATTCCAGGTGTCTGGGGCCTAGGCAGCATTTCAAGAGTGGTCTATGCCTCCAAATCACATCTACACTTGAATGTGACATTTTTTTTTCTTCTTACAAAAATGGCATGCCCTTAAAACAGATATATTAATGCTAACATTTAGAATCTTTGAGTATTAGGATATATATATATATATATATCACAGAGACCATCTGGTCCAACTTCTGCATTTAAGCGATGAGGAAATGGGGGCCCCTTAGCAGAGATGCAGCGGGTTGCTTAAGATCTCATAGCAAGAGCGAAGTGGCTTCCAGTCCTGGCCTCTGGGGTCCCGATTCATATCCTGTGTCCTTCTCACATTGCCACAGCACCATGCTAGCTCCCGAACCTTGGCTGTCACCCTCTGTGCATCAGTAGCAGAGACTCCAATAGTGCAGCCAAATTGGGTTGGCTGCAGTGCACCCCTGACCGACTCAGAAACTGCTGTAGCCCCCATGAGGCTTCATCTCCCTCTGGGGCTCCTGGTTCAGAACCAATTAGGAGCATCTCTTGGAGTCAGAAGACTTTGATCAGGATGACTGGGAACACAGGCTGTTAGAGCGGCAGAGTTAACCAGAAGTAACTCGAATGAGTCTCCATGGTGAGACCTGCTACTTCCATTTCCTTTTGGTGCCTGCGGGTTGCTACAGCCCACAAGGAGCAACCACAAAGGCAGGCCAACTGGATGGCAGGCCTGGGTGGGCGGGAAGACAGAGCCACCCACCTTTACGCTCTAATGAGCTCCCATCCGCCTTCTGTTAAAATGACACCAACTTCCTGAGATAGCCTGCCTTTGTCCCCCCCAGAGCATCTGCACAGAGTGGCTCTATCTCCTGCCCTTGAAGTCTCTTTCTGATAAGTCGTTGTTTTGCATGTGATGACAAGCTAGCAACTTTCAACTGCCTTCCTGATTTCCCAACAAATTCTTCTATTATTATCATTATTATTATTATTATTTAATATATTTTTATTTTCAACTCATGCACAATAATTGCACACACTCATGGGGTACAATGTGACATTTCAGTACGGGTATACAGGGTGTGGTGAGCATATGAGCGTAATTGGTATATCCATCACCTCAGACAGGTTGTCATTTCTTTGTGCTGGGAACATTTGAAATCCTGAAATACTAGCTGTTTTGAAATATCCAATTAATTGTTGTCAACTCTATTTATCCTACTGAGCATGGGAAGTGATTCCTCCTACCTAACTGCATCCCTTTACCTATTCACCATCCTGTCTGCCTCCTCCTCCTCCTTCCCCACACACTTCCCGGGCTCTGCTTCTTTGAAATCAAATTTTTTAGCTACCACATATATTTCTGAATTTCTTAAATCCATTTTCAATGGAACAACGCTTGGTAATTTGGGTTACAGGTTTTCGGCAGAGGCATAACACCTATAGAAAAAGCCAGAAACATTCAGAAAGGGGTAGAGGGGCTTGTAGCTTAATGATAAAGGAGAACTTGGGAGGATAGTATATATTTTCTGTCTGTCTGTCTGTCTCTCTCAGTACTAAGTGTTGGCAAATCTCTCTTCTTCTCAGACTTTCACCTCTGCAAAGGGAAATTTGACCAGAAATCACCTAAATGGGTCTCCACAATATCAGGAGCTCCCCGGGGAGATCATTAGAAGTGAACAGTCCTTAAAGTGTCTTTCAAAAGTGTCTTCTAAGTTGGATACAGTGGTGCACAACTCTAATCCCAGCTATTCTGGAGGCTGAGGCAGAAGGATGACAAGTTCAACTGGGCTATTTAGTGAGACACTGTCTCCAATAAAAAAAAAAAAAAAAAGAAAAAAGTTTTCTGGAACATGGTAATAATTGATGCCATTATAGATACAAGCTAGCATAGAAAAGCTAGGATGTATTTCAAGAACTTTTACCTTCAAGAGAAATGATAACCTCTAGCCCAACTCCTTTAAACAAATCAGGACATGTCAGCACAAATTGGCCATAACAGTGACAAAAAAAAAGAGAAGAATCCCCAAGAAGTCGGCCTCCTTGTGCAGACTTGACACCGTAGCCACAATCTTGAATTCTGATTTGGGCATGTATTTCATGTCCAGTTTTGTTAGATCATTTTTATGTTATTGATGTCTCAGCATTTCTTTCCCACCAATTTCAAGTTAGATGTGGCCGAGGAAATGGACGAAAATGGACCTAGACTAAAAGATTTGAGGCCTACTCATTTGGGAAAAACATGCAGTTTAAAACAAGACTAAATGAACGTTTCATGATCATTTGTGTTTCTTACCAGGAGCTCTCTGTCAACCTCATTTGTTTATGTGACTGCTGCTTTTGCAACTGAGCTGAGCACCTAAATGCTTTGAAATTTCCCTTGTGGTGGTGTTAGGCTCCATTACGAAAGACATCCCCCGGGTTCTGGAACCCTAATGCTTGAGGGCTGGCAGCCCCTTCACTTTTACAGATGAGGAAACAACGTGCCCAGACATGCTATAGGAAATGCACACATGATAGCTAGTTGTCTGTAACAACACTTGAGAATTGTGCTTGCTTTCCTTTTTTTTTTTTTGGTATGGGGGATTGAAACCAAGGATGCTTTACCCCTGAGCTACATCCCCAGCCCTTTTTACATTTTATTTTAAGATAGCATCTCGCTAAGTTGCCCAGGTTGGCCTCAAACTTGCCATCCTCCTGCCTCAGCCTCCTCAGTACTGGGATCACAGGCCTGTGTCACCAAGACCCGCCTACCACGTATAGACTTTCTACTAATGCTTTTGCCATCCTGGATTGGAGGTAGACTCTAAGAATGGTCCACTCTATTTGGAAACTGCCAGAGAAGGAGTGGGAGAGAATGAACCCACATTCTTCAACTGCCCATCAGGAAGTGGGACGTTCAAACGGAATGTCTGGGTTAATCAAAGTCTGGTTCTTTGGCTTAGATGTGGTTTCATTGTGTCCCCCAAAGGCTCATGTGCTGGGATCTTGATCCCGAGTGTAGACATGTGGAGGTGTGAGACCCTTTAAGAGGCAGCAGTGAATGGAAGGGGGATAGGTCATGGAGCCATGGACCTCAGATGAGATTAATGCTGGCCTCCCTGAGTGAGCTCTCATAAAAAAGAGGGGGTCGTTCTAAAGCCTATAAAGCA